CGATTTTCGTACGAGAATCGAGCAGTGTATGGGCACCTTTAATGTGCGGGCACACTGCTCGATTCTCGTACGAAATCAGCTCGGCTCCACGTCCTTCCGTCCCCACCACCGGCGCTCGCCCGTCCCTGCTGCCGACCTTCGGTCCCTCCGCTCTCCAGGCCCTTTGACTGACGTCCACTGTCCCTCTGGTCCGTCCGTCTAGTCCCGCCGCCTCTCTCGTCCTCTCTCGTCACCCACGCTGCTGCACGCGCGCGCGTGTGCTTGCTCTCTGAGATCTCAATCTCACTGGCAGAAATCCTCCACAGCGCCACCCAGTGTTACCCGCTTACTTGAAGCTACCAATACTAATAAGGATGTTGATGTCGTCCTTCCCCCCCTGTTTTTCCCCACTATACCCGACACTGTTCCCCCTCTTTTCCTACCCTGTTGACCTCCCTCTCTCCCTCTCCTGGCAATCCATACCGTCTTCTCCCGAGCCCTTTGTTAGGCTGTACAGCCCAGTGGGCCTTGACTCACTTAATACACGTATTTTGAGGGTGTGGGGGAATAAGAGAACAATTATACCATTTGAAAAATATCTTTATTTACCATAAGTTGTATGATTGTTATTCTCCTCTGAACGACTGTATTCATGGAAATGTCAGTTTGTTTTATACTGTTATGCCTTTGAAAACTTTAATAAAAATATTGCAACAGAATGGAATAAATGACATAGTTTCTTTATTGCTCCTGGGCGGGCGTGTGTTCCTCATAAGTCCATTATTCTGCTCACCTTCGTATCTCCTCACATTTGGCTACTGAGGTCCCTCCGCCCTCTGCCACCACCCCGTACTATCTGATGCTGCCCTGGCTTTGCTGGCTCTGCTCTACATGCAGTTTATTTCACTTTCCCTATTTCTGTTACTGCTCCTTCCACTGGCATATCCCTAATGTGTGCAGTCCATGAAGTGCACACGTGCCCCAAGGGGAAAGGGGCCCACTGAGCACTCACTGCACACATTGGGGATGTGAAATGGGAATCCTTTGAGCTACAGTTGTGCCTGTCCTACCAACACACAACATGCAGCCACACCTGTCCTATCGACATACAACATGCAGCCACGCCTGTCCTACCAACACACATGTAGCCACACCTGTCCTACCAACACACATGTAGCCACGCCTGTCCTACCAACACACAACATGCAGACGCGCCTAACCTACCAACAGACAACAAGCAGCCACACCTGTCCTACCTTCACATATCATGCAGCCACACCTGTCCTACCAACACACATGTAGCTGCTCCTGTCCTACCAGCACACAACATGTAGCCACGCCTGTCCTATCAAAACACAACATGCAGCCATGCCTGTCCTACCCACACACATGTAGCCACACCTGTCCTACCAACACACAACATGCAGACGAGCCTGTCCTACCAACACACAACATGCAGACGAGCCTGTCCTACCAACACACAACATGCAGACGCGCCTGTCCTACCAACAGACAACATGCAGACGCGCCTGTCCTACCAACACACAACATGCAGACGCGCCTGTCCTACCAACAGACAACATGCAGACGCGCCTGTCCTGCCAACACACAATATGCAGCTGTGCCTGTCCTACTAACACACATGTAGCCACACCTGTACTACCAACACACATGTAGCCACACCTGTCCTACCAACACACATGTAGCCACGCCTGTCCTACCAACACACAACATGATGACGCGCCTAACCTACAAACAGACAACATGCAGCCACACCTGTCCTACCGACACACAACATGCAGCCACACCTGTTCTACCGACACACAACATGCAGCCACACCTGTCCTACCGACACACAACATGCAGCCACACCTGTTCTATTGACACACAACATGCAGCCATGCCCGTTCACCAATGGACAATTTTGGGTACCGTGGGTCTTTCTGCAACCCCGCCTTTTATATTTTACCACATATGTGGTATTATATTGTGTTTGTGTGCACTAAACGTAATTTAGGTGCATTTTGTTTTACTAAATATACAAATTTGATCAAAAGTAGCGTAGCTATCGCGGGGAAAATGGCTACCGCTACCAATTTGTTCTACAGGGTCTCTGCTTTTCAGAAACTTTAGGTATTATATCTTCAGGCTTTAGATGTGCATTTTGCCATGCATGCAATCAGAAAACATGGCTCTGGCAGCAAAACAGTTAACGGTCTGTTCTTTTTTTATGGGTTGTGAACTATTAAAATGCCGCAGCCTGCATGTCCTGTGCAGCAGACACATGAGCAGGCCTCAGCCCTACACCAGCACCATGTGCTCAGAGCACACTCACTCAGCCATAGATTGCGAAATGAGCTGATAAACATCATGTGACCCACTCTTAGGCCTTCTCCCATACGCTCGGTTGCTTGGCAAATTATTAGTGCCTAGCAACCAATCACGCAAGATCGCCACTGACGCGATCGGCTTCCCGCCCTCTTTCGCCGCCCCGCCCCTTTCGGTTACGCATGCAGCGCCCAGGCCAATCAGCGTCGAGCAAAGGAACTCCGTCCGCACTCGCTGTTCAAATGACTGTGCGTGACGCGTCAGCGCCATTTTGTCCGTGAAGCCCGTCAGGGAGCACTGAGAGAGAGAGAGCGGGGAGCGGCTTGTGGTGCCGTCGCACGATGCACGCAGGGGGCCTCGGGGCACCCACGGCCGGTTTCCCCTAGTCGCAGCCGACACATTACCCTTCCCCACTTCGCAGCTCTGCTGTGTCTTCAGTCGCTCCTCTCTTTCTCGTCAAGATGGCGGCGGACGAACCCCGTGAAGACGCCTGTCGGGAATACCAGTCGTCCTTGGAGGACCTGACGTTCAACAGCAAGCCTCACATCAACATGCTGACCATCCTGGCCGAGGAGAACCTGAAGTTCGCCAAGGATATCGTCACTCTTATCGAAGCGCAAGTCGCTAAGGTTTTTATGACTAAAGCCTTTTATTTTACTCTAAGGGTCCCCCGCTCCCTCATCCTCCCCCCCTCAGGCACAGCAGTAGGCCCAGGAGCCCCCCTCAGGATAGAAACCCCTCCTAGTTCCGTTCAGTCAGGGCGATACCTCACAGGGCAAGATGGCGGCAAGATGTCCTCATTATGAGAAGGCCTACGCCACCTCACGCACGTAGCTGGGGCGTCCCATAGCAACATGACGGCCTGTCTTCCGTGAGCAGAAAAGGCCTAGGCTTCCTTTGGAAGGCCGACAGACCCTCACATTTATCTACGATGTCACATGGCGGCCTGTCCTGCTCCCTTACTGGTCAGACAAGGACACGCTATGTCCTCCCACGGCAACATGGCGGCCTGTCTTCTCTTACTGGTCAGGGAAGGTGTCCAGGTCCTGTGGTCGGGGAAGGTCTAAGCTTCCTATAGAAGGCCTACAGCATGTCAGGGCAACATGGCATGTCCTTTCTAGACAGGAGGCCTAGACGTCCTATAGAAAGCTATACCACCTCACTCACCCTAAGTCTATGTCCTCATGGGGGCAACATGGCAGTCTTTCAGCTCATCAGAGAAAGCCTAGACTTCCTTATAGAAGGCCTACTGCTTCCCTGATGTGTTTATGACCTCACGGGGCAATATCGTGGCCTGTACTCCCTTGCTGATCAGAGAAGGTCTACAGCATGTCAGGGCAACATGGCGGCCTGTCATTTCTGATCAGAGAAGTCGTAGGCTTCATATAGAAAGCTGTATCGCCTCATGTCATGCCTACGTCGTCCTCGCAGGGCAATTTGGCGGCCTGTCCTCCTTTACTGGTCAGAGAAGGTCTAGGATTCCTATAGAAAGCTATAGTGCCTTACACACCTTGTCTTCCCGGGGCAATATGGTGGACTGTCCTTCCAGCCATCTAGTTTTCATTCCTCAGTCAGGGAGAGGGAACTGTCATCCTAGTCTACCTTCCTGATATAGGTCAGGGGTGGGCAAACTCTGGCCCTCCAACTGTTGTGGAATTACAGATCCCATGAGGCACTGCGAGAGTCTCTCAGCCACAGGTATGAGCCCCCACTAGCAACCAATCACGCAAGATCGCCACTGACGCGATCGGCTTCCCGCCCTCTTTCGCCGCCCCGCCCCTTTCGGTTACGCATGCAGCGCCCAGGCCAATCAGCGTCGAGCAAAGGAACTCCGTCCGCACTCGCTGTTCAAATGACTGTGCGTGACGCGTCAGCGCCATTTTGTCCGTGAAGCCCGTCAGGGAGCACTGAGAGAGAGAGAGCGGGGAGCGGCTTGTGGTGCCGTCGCACGATGCACGCAGGGGGCCTCGGGGCACCCACGGCCGGTTTCCCCTAGTCGCAGCCGACACATTACCCTTCCCCACTTCGCAGCTCTGCTGTGTCTTCAGTCGCTCCTCTCTTTCTCGTCAAGATGGCGGCGGACGAACCCCGTGAAGACGCCTGTCGGGAATACCAGTCGTCCTTGGAGGACCTGACGTTCAACAGCAAGCCTCACATCAACATGCTGACCATCCTGGCCGAGGAGAACCTGAAGTTCGCCAAGGATATCGTCACTCTTATCGAAGCGCAAGTCGCTAAGGTTTTTATGACTAAAGCCTTTTATTTTACTCTAAGGGTCCCCCGCTCCCTCATCCTCCCCCCCTCAGGCACAGCAGTAGGCCCAGGAGCCCCCCTCAGGATAGAAACCCCTCCTAGTTCCGTTCAGTCAGGGCGATACCTCACAGGGCAAGATGGCGGCAAGATGTCCTCATTATGAGAAGGCCTACGCCACCTCACGCACGTAGCTGGGGCGTCCCATAGCAACATGACGGCCTGTCTTCCGTGAGCAGAAAAGGCCTAGGCTTCCTTTGGAAGGCCGACAGACCCTCACATTTATCTACGATGTCACATGGCGGCCTGTCCTGCTCCCTTACTGGTCAGACAAGGACACGCTATGTCCTCCCACGGCAACATGGCGGCCTGTCTTCTCTTACTGGTCAGGGAAGGTGTCCAGGTCCTGTGGTCGGGGAAGGTCTAAGCTTCCTATGGAAGGCCTACAGCATGTCAGGGCAACATGGCATGTCCTTTCTAGACAGGAGGCCTAGACGTCCTATAGAAAGCTATACCACCTCACTCACCCTAAGTCTCTGTCCGCATGGGGGCAACATGGCAGTCTTTCAGCTCATCAGAGAAAGCCTAGACTTCCTTATAGAAGGCCTACTGCTTCCCTGATGTGTTTATGACCTCACGGGGCAATATCGTGGCCTGTACTCCCTTGCTGATCAGAGAAGGTCTACAGCATGTCAGGGCAACATGGCGGCCTGTCATTTCTGATCAGAGAAGTCGTAGGCTTCATATAGAAAGCTGTATCGCCTCATGTCATGCCTACGTCGTCCTCGCAGGGCAATTTGGCGGCCTGTCCTCCTTTACTGGTCAGAGAAGGTCTAGGATTCCTATAGAAAGCTATAGTGCCTTACACACCTTGTCTTCCCGGGGCAATATGGTGGACTGTCCTTCCAGCCATCTAGTTTTCATTCCTCAGTCAGGGAGAGGGAACTGTCATCCTAGTCTACCTTCCTGATATAGGTCAGGGGTGGGCAAGCCACCCCCGCAGGGAGCCCCCCCCCCCCCCCCCCCCCCGAGACATATGCATGTTGGGCATTGTAGTTTTACCACAGCTGGAGGGCTGTAGTTTGCCCACCTCATATAGGTAGTATGAGAGGACAGACTGTTTTCCTGTTCTGTACGTTTATTTCCTATTGATTTGTTTTACCTTTCAGAGACGGGGGCTCTCCACCCTAATTAAGCAGCAAGGACACTGCAGAGCCATTGGCAGGTGGGGACAGCCCCAGTTTGTGTAGCTGGGGATCTCCAGTCCCCTTTGGGCAGCTGTGGCCCCCTCTTTCAGGTTTTCATTGTGGTTTGTGTCGCTGCTTGAAAGATTCATCCGTCTGTCCTGCTGAACGCTGTCAGGGATGGAACCTAAGGCAGAGATACAAACTTTAGCAAGAGGCTGGGCATTACCTAGTATGGCCTTTCCCCTAACTCTGGGGACATTTTCGGTCATTACCTGTTGTCTTCAGGAAAGTAAGTAAAGGGAAATCTTTCCATCGGGACATAGGCAACAAAACTGGTTTGGTAGGGGTTTTAACTGTGCTATAGTCTATCCAAACCAAAAATGTGTAGATGACACAATGTACATGAATTGCCCTGTACACATCTGTGTGCTGCGTTTGTAAAAGGAGGCATGTGTTTTTCATGCATTTTTCAGTACATGTTTTAATGCCTTTTTTCAATGCACTGTGGGTGAGCTCAGGGCAGCTTGTCATTCCATGCCCACACACTGTATTTTCTTCGTTCAACCTATGGGCTGAACAAAGAAAATAGACGTTTCCTCCATCAATGCTTATGAGCGTTGATCGAGGAATCATTTTACAACTTCATTGTATTCTGACGGCAGCCACAGTCGGAATTTCCCAACAGAGCTGGCAGCACATTGCCTGCTGCCTCCATTTGAGGATTTTTCAACCGGCTCCTTTGGTCAGCTGATGAAGGGATGCTGGCTAAAAAGGGTGCTGACAGCGACAGTTCCTCAAGAACCTGACAATTCCTAGTGTATGTCCTGCTTAACGTCTCCTGAGATTGCTGCCATGTGCTCACTCGCATGTCACGCAAGATGGTTGCAGCTGCGTCTTTCTGTGACAGTGAAACTGATCAGGGGGCGTCACCACTTTTCCTGCCACTCCTCCCATGGCGTTTACAAAGGCCAACAGAGATAGAATAAAGCTTGGGTGGCCATGGCTGATATTTCCCACAGGGCCATTGCTCAGATTCATCCACCCACTTCACAGAAATATAGGCAGCACAGGCATCAGAAGTCCACAACAATTTTGTCACTGCAGAAAATAAATGGTGATGGGCCAAAAATGTAAAATGCATGACACATGAAAACGCATGTCAGCGTAGAGAAGCGGGCAAGGAGAGACGTGAACCCAGCTTAAAGTGCTATTAAACCCTCAGCTTTTTTTGCATATATCTACTGCTGGCAGTAGATATATGCAAAAACATTTTAAAAACCAGTTTAAACTTACCCGTGTTTTTTCCCACGCGCTCCCGTCCGAAAATCTGAAAATTCTCGGGCGCCCGCAAAGCATCTTTGGACGGGCACGTGCGCAGTTACGCTTTTCGGCCGGGAGACGAGGAGAGACTCAAGGTAAGTCTATGGGCGTGTGCACCCGCATGCAGACACCGTGGGACAGGAAGTGCCAGCAAGGACAGGGGAGTCAGCGCTGGAGAGAACGCTGAAAACTACAGGAAAGATCGGCTTAGGAAACCTCGTTTAAGGTGAGTTCTTTGATTAAAGGAGAACTATGGGGATAAGGCTTTTCCCCATAGTTCTCAGAGTAACGGGAGGACACAGCTCAGTATACTGCAAGCTACAGCTCGCGGTATACTGAGACGCCGCAGCTGAAGCGGATCCCGACAATTATGTCTGGATCCGCCCAGCTTTGTGAGTGACAGCTGGCTCTGCCTATCTAGAGGCAGAGCCAGCTGTACCTGCCCCGTCCGATCCGATTTTGATTTGGCATCAAAATCACGTCAATGCTTTCCAATGGGATTTCTGGTGCTCTGTTCACACCAGTGCAGTCTGTTCCGATGCAGTCAGAAAAAATCCCCTTGCCTCAGCGCATGCAAACACACTGGACTGCACCTGAAAGCCCATTTTAAGCTAAAAAAATGGTGTAAAAACGCAGCAAATGGCATCGCGAGCTTTTGACAAATATAAAGTAGGTGTTATGCCTATTCAGAGTAAGGGATCTGTAAAAGCCCTGGCATCTATTTTTCTGTCTCTTTGGTGGTGGTTGACCGTTGTCAGACAGAACATGGGAAGTGAATAGGAATTTCCCCAGTGGGGTATAATAAAAATGGGTTTAAATTAGGGATGTGCTGATACCGTGTATTTGGCAGAGTACTAATACTTGCCGGAATGCTCAGATACCTTCCCCGATACTGGAACTTTCGGTCAGAGGAAGGGGAACATGGAGCCAAGTTCTAGTGCGATAAAGAAGCTGGGTGGCAAGTAATGACCCGGCTTCCTGATTGGCCAGGAAGCCAGCTCAATGCTGATTGTGCTTGGCCGGGAAATCGGTTTCCCAGCCATATCAAGCCGGCCAGACAACTCAGCCGGCTTCTCGGGCAGTCAGATTGCCCGGGAAGTCGGCTCCATGTCAGCGGAGTACCGAAAGCAATGTATCGGTACTCGATACCGAAAAAATGGTATCTGCATCATTAAATAGTTTTAATCATTCAATATTCTATCTGAAACTGCAAAAAATAAATGTTTATCCTTTTTTTTTTTTTTATACTTTAAAAGTGCCTGCTGCGTCTTGTGGTAGTTACATAGGCTGTTATGCAATCTAACAATGTGTCAGTAAGTCCATAGCAACTTATTGAGTTCAGTGTAATGCAAATGGTTAAATAGTGCAATGTAAGGGCTAAACTACTGAGAACTTGTTCCTGAATCCTGTATTCTCGATCTGGGCTTAATACAATCCCAGGGTTCTAGTGATTGGTAATGGGACCTAGGGGTCCATCCCTTGTCAAAATTTACAATGGCCTTTATTTTCTAGTCCCTTGCCCTCATTAGTTAGAGCACCCATCCATTCAGTGGTACCTGTTTTGCTATTCCATTTTTTTTTTCTTTCGGGGGTGGGGGGATTTGTTTTGTAATAGATTAGGTTGGGTTAAATGAAATGCTTTTCAGAGTAGTTTCTGTCCCTTTTATATCTTTGTTTTGATATTTGCAGAATATTTAGGTGTAGATCTAGAACTTCAGATTAGAGCGGGATTAGTCTTCATGCTGTAACTTGTATTTTTCAGGAGCCCCAATTTTAGCTAAGCTTCCTTTTTTGCTTTCCCTCCAACATCCTTTAACCATGTTATTTGCACAATTGTCTTTTGCGTTTTAGTGCACATTCTCTATTTGAATAAATGGCTGTGAAATGTGTGATTGGTATGCTGCAATATGTAAATAAAATGTATGAAATTTGTTATTTGTCTTTTTTTATTTACTACTGTTTATTGCACCTGTTTTATGAAAAGGTCCGTACAGAGTAAAACATGTGGGTGACACTTCATTCGACTTGGAGGGTCTTCTATTATTAATGTTTTGTTTCGGCGACACTTGCAGTGGTATTTGAAAATTGCAGTAACACAAAACATAAACTTAAAGCTGAACTCTGGGATAAGCAAATATTCTGTAAATAGAAAAGGTGGTGTGTTCCATAAATCTTGGTGTGCTTTTTGTATTTTTTCCAGATATGTGCAGTAATCCACCATTAAGCTTTGTGCAGGAGTTTCCTGTAATCGCTCACTGCTGCACTCTCGCTTTGTGCAGGGTGACTGGTCTAGTCTCCGCCCCCTCCTGTAATAAAGACCGCTCGCTGCTGCTCTCTCCGTGCACACGGTGACTGGTCTTGTCTCTGCCTCCTCCTGTAATAAAGACCGCTCACTGGTGCTCTCTCTCTGTGCAGCATAACTGGTCTTGTCTCCGCCCCCCCTCCTGTAATAAAGACTGGTCACTGCTGCTCTCTCCTTGTGCAGAGTGACTGGTCTTATCTCCACCCCTCCTGTAGTTTTTTTGCAGTCTGCCTGTTGTAGGTGAGGCCTACTGGGTCCCTTCCACAGCTCTGCTGTCTGCACAGGTGATTTACAGCGCAGTGATGTTTTGTTTCTTTTTTTGAACTTTTATTTGGTATTGTCTGAGTTTGCCACAGCATATGGTGCTCACAAAATGGATTTATATTTTTTGTGCTTTTTAAGTAATATTTTTAAAGGGCAGTTTGACCAGAGTTCAGCTTTAATTCACAGTACTATTTCAAAGGTTTGCCCCGTTATAGCTTTTAAGGCCAACAATAGGTTCTCAAAGCTCCCACTACATGGTTCTATTTAAGTTTCTGGGTCCATGTAAAATCAGACAGTCATTCTACCAGATATGACAATGTTTCATTCTCTGTAATACCAAAGCTAGTGTTCTGTGGGGATGGGTTACACAATAGCCTTAAAACATTACATAATGTCATTTCTAGAGCCATCTGCAGATGCCTATCTCCCTTTCACATATTGTACAGAGCTTACACATAGCTTATTTTTACACAGTACACATGTAATTCTTACACAGTACACATGTAATTCTTACACAGTACACATTTAATTCTTGCTTTTTTTTTTTTTTAAATTAGATTTCTTTTAAAATGTTCAGTGTCGTGTTACAGGTTTCAAATACACATATCCCACAGGATTTAAAACCTAAAGGGTTATTTGCTGTACTTGTCTATTACACAGTACACATGTAATTCTTACACAGTACACATGTAATTCTTACACAGTACACATTTAATTCTTGCTTTTTTTTTTTTTTTAAATGAGATTGCTTTTAAAATGTTCAGTGTCGTGTTACAGGTTTCAAATACACATATCCCACAGGATTTAAAACCTAAAGGGTTATTTGCTGTACTTGTCTGAACTGTACCATTTAAATACTGCAATTGGTTCTGTACGATGAGGGAAAACTGGACACACAAGCTGCTTTAAAAGGTGACTAATGTGGCAGAAGCTGAACAGGTGACGCCTGCTTCGCAGGAAGGGTAATGGCACTTTCCTCAGCAGATATTGAAACCTTCACACGTTTACCTGCCTGCTAACGCTGAGTACTTCATGCTATACACATCTGGAAAACATTGTGGAAGATGCAGCATTACTTGGCTGTTCAGAAAGAAAAAAATAAAAATAAAAGTATCTTCAGCAGTTGCCAGATGGAGTCAAGTGTATATTACGCCTTCAAGCATGGAGAAATATATTTCCTCTGGTCATCGGGCCTGGAGATCCTTAAAAGAATTCAGCTTAATTGTTAAAATATAAATCACAATGTTTCAAACAAAAGCAGATATTGAGTCGAGTGGCTACAATAAAATGGTAACCCTTACATTTTTTGGTATTTGCTTGTGGAGATCGCAAGAGTCATTTTTTTGCTCTACATTGCACGTGGGGATCAGTTAATCTTAAATCCATGTACTTACCTTGGTTTGTATACAAATGGGATCAGTAAACTGGGCTGACGGTCTTGTCGTATTAAACTTATCAGTTTTCTTTTATTTAGGCACCTAGCTCAGAGAAGCTTCCAGTCATGTATCTTATGGATTCCATTGTAAAAAATGTTGGAAGAGACTACGTTGCTGCGTTTGCTAAAAACATAGTTTCCACGTTTGTTATTGTGTTTGAAAAGGTATAGATTCATCATTCTTTTCTTGTTTTCTGATCGCTTGAATGTGTACATTGCTGATCTAGTTTAAAGTGACATTAAACCCTCAGATTTTTACCAATAGTGTAATGTGCGCCTTACTGTAATCCATGGTAGTTTCCCTTCTCTTTGCTGCTCTTCCTTTTAAATCCTTATCTCTTCTCATGCTGGGGGAGAACTTCCCTTTGCAGCTGAGTGCCTCTTCCTGTAGTGCTGGCTCAGGTTGTGAACGTACACACAGACACCATGTATCCATTTCAGAGACAAGGCAGTCTGCTGCAAAACAGAAGTTCTCCCCCAGCATGAGAAGAGATACAGATTTTAAAGGAAGAGCAGCAAAGAGAAGGGAAACAACCATGGATTACAGTAAGGCGCACATTACACTATTTTATGTTTAAAAAATCTGAGGGTTTAATGTCACTTTAAAAGCTAACTTTATGGGCCACATTTTTGGGCCTCATTCACACGGGCTTGTGATTGTATGCATTCGTAGGCAATTTCTAAATGATGTGAATCACTCTGCCTTCAGTTTAGAGAAAAAAAAACAAATCTGTCTGGGAGCAGATTAGATACTGCAAGCAGGGGAAAGTGATCTGGGAGGTATAACGTTTGTACTTCCCAGATCAATTTCTCTGGCATTTATATGCAGGAGGCCCATGTGAATGAAGGTTAACATTGGCCATACACACTAGTAGACTAGACTCCTAATTCTATGATGACTGGCATCCATGGATGGATCTCTATCGCTGAGGCTGTAGTTACAGCTGGTTAAAAAAAATGTGGCTGTTTGATTGTACTTGTACATTGCAAACTTCAAAAATAAAGAATTTATTAAAAAAACAAAATTTGGCTCGACTGGTTCGACAGATTGATTCAGTAATTGACTTGTCCAGCTGGCAGATGGGTAGAATCTGGAGAGTCTTTTAAAACGCACCGAGCAATTACATTTTTGGACAAGTACACCAAGCGGTGCTCTAAATGACTTGCTTTGGTATTTGTTCTTATCGACAGGTTGCCTGGCTTTCAGAATACAATAGCCCAGCAGGGGAGATTCCCCCATCCATGCTTTCAGGCAGTTGGGCTGGGAGATAAACTACCAGTGTACGGCAAACTTTAGCCTTAAGAGCTTGCATTTATTTATCGTGTTGCTAATTTTTATTTAGCGGTTTAGTAAGAAATTTAACTTGATTTAATTAAAGTCTGGTTTGGGGTTCATCTATACTGCTGTGTCAAGAATTCATGTGTTTTCTGTAACTTTTTTTTAAATTTTTGCTTTTTAGCACACGTGAAAACGCATGCAAAAATTGCAATGAAAACATTTGAAGGCATCTGCCTTTAATAAATACATAGCAGACATGATTGCTCTTCTGCCATGTCTTGCCCCATGTATGTACTGCTGGTAAACTCGGGCCTGTTGTAACATTTAAAATGTACGGCTCTGTTGCTTCAGCAACCAAATTTTTATTTAATTTTAAATGCCTGTTCAAGATGCAGTTGCATGAACTGTCAAGAGACAAACTTGTTCTATCCTTTCCAGGTGGATGAAAACACTAGAAAAAGTCTGTATAAGTTGCGCTCCACATGGGATGAAATATTTACTTCAAAGAAATTGTATGCACTTGATGTGAGGGTCAACCAGGTAGACCCAGCATGGCCTGTCAAGCCTTTACCACCTAATGTGAACACAGCTAGCATCCATGTGAATCCTAAATTCCTGAACAAAGTAAGTATATTGGATATGCATTTTGTTCGAAATGCAGAATTGTGTAGACTTTGCCTGCAATCCCTAGCTGACACAATGCTGATTAAGTCTGTGCTTATTTGTCCTAAAGGCATAGTAGATGTAATGCACCCACAGTAACAAATGTGCATTTTTGCATTAAAGCCTGCAGAGCAGTGCAAAAGCGATCACTGCGGTGCAATTCACAGGCTATATCTCGGATCTGTACAGACCTTCTGTTGGCAGGAGGAAATCAATGGACTTCAAGTGTTATGGCGTCTCCACACTTGTGCTCCATTGAGATCTGTGAGTCACCATGCTTCAGTGGCAGATGAAATGTGTAGCTGCATTTGCAACTCCCTGTGAGTGGATGATGCGATTGTGCAGATGGAGCCATGCACAACTGCGCGAAATGTAAAAAAAATCAGCAGGATGCGCCAGGGAGAAGCACCCCTCAATTCCGGTAAGTGGGGGGGTGATGGGGGCACGTTGATGCAACCATGGATGTAAATGGGTCTAAATATTGGTGTAATGTGAAACTTGGTTGGGAAGCTGAACTATACCTTTTAATTTTCTGTTTCAAAGAATAACTTGGTATTTTTCAGGCTTTCTGTGAAATTATGCATGTTAACTTGAAGATCATCTTCAGCAGATGTTGCGTTGAGCAGCATGTGTTTTAAAAGCCCCTGTTTTTTTCTTTTTAATAGCCAGAGGAGTCTGCTAATACTAAACCTGCTGTATCCATGCCAAAGCCTGCTCCTCCTCGCACAAGTACCGAGGTACCAAAGCCTCATCTTTCACAAGAGCAGGTTATAAGACAACAGTTACTTGTGAAGCAAAAACAGTTGTTAGAACTTCAGCAAAAGAAGTTGGAATTAGAATTAGAGCAAACAAAGGCGCAACTGGTAAGTGACGTTTTACTAGTTCATTTCAATGCTTTCAAAGTAACATGACTAAGTGAATGTAAATGCAAAATACATGGTGGCTGCGTTTTAGTTTTTAGTGTTTATGCCTTTTTTGCCCGCTGATTTAGTCACTTCAGTCCTAGGCTGATGGTACCCACTCCTGTATTGCAGCTATCTATGGAGGAGCAGCGTTGTTGATCTAAACTGCTCTCCTGTTTTACTACAAACCCCTTATCTGTTACCTAGGGCAATGGTGAATTGTAATCCACAGAACTGGGCTAAAACATTTTCCATAGTTCAGTTTAGTTAATAGGAATTCAGGGCAGAACTAAACTGCATCTAAAAGGAATGCTAACTGACATTGAGGGGAATTTATCAAAATCTGGAGCAGTTGCCCATGGCAACCAATCAGCATCCACCTTTCATTTTCAAACCTTAACTGAACTGGAGAGAATCTGATTGGTTGCCATAGGTAACTGGCCCCCCTCCCAATAGACATACAAATGGCAAACTGCACATGGTAGACTAATTTTTTTTTTATATAGTCTTGTAGGGAGAGGGACACAAACACTTTTTATAAGATCAAAAAGCTTTCTTGGTGGCAATCTCTTAAGAGAACTATAGGCAAAGTGAAACACACACATCCCCATAGTTAGGACCGACGTGTGACACTGCAGATGTATATACAGTGGTAACCCGGTTCACAAACGTAACCTCTTGCCGTCCGCCCGTTAAGAAAAAACGGACCGCAGACTCGCTTCCGCGGGTTGCCGTGTCCAGACGGCATTTTTTCCCTGCGCACGGGCAGGAAAGACCCGCTCGTTTCTACAGCCGTTAACGGCTGTTTCGCATACAACCGATCAGCGGCTCTATAGCCGCCGATCGGTTGTACGGCGTGATTTTCGGATCACCCCCCGTTCTCGCTAGTGCCACCACTCCCCCCCCTCCTGACCCCTCACCTTTAATCCCGGGATCCGCTAGCCCATCTGCGGCCCGGGATTGGCTCGGGAGGGCGGCAGGAGGAGGGAGGGAGATCAGCTCCTTGCTGTTCTCCCTCTGTAGTGTGAATGCAGAAGTGATGTGTATTACATCACTTCCGCATTCACCTGTCAGTCATCTGGCTGCTATTGCCAGAGAGAAGAAGCTGATAAAGCAGATCTCTGCTTCATCAGCTTCTTATGGGGTCTCCAGGTGACATTAGGGGTCTAGAGACCCCTAATGTCTCCATAAAGAGGACCTGTCAGTGTACCTGTGCTATTATATAGGGGGAAGGTATCTCACTATGTAATAGCAATAACATAAACTGATGTGCGGTAAAAGCTTTTAATGCGTCGCCTATGGCCAAATTTGGTTAATGTAGTTTTTTTGAGGTTTTGCACGTGTGCGCAATTTTAAGGTTTTACATGTTTGGTGTCTCTTTACCCGACGTGACCCCGTCTTTTACATTTTACCAAAAAATTGGGTAATTATAAATGTTTTAGAATTTTAATATTTGGTAAACTTTTTTTTTTTTAAAAGGTTCACACCTAGGCGTATTACGCATGCACGTCTGTTGCGCGACCGTCACGCGGTTTTTTTTAACCGCGATTGGCAAAAATCGCGCGACCCCGAAGGCTACTTGGCTGTATCCCAATGGAAAACGCCCTCCAAAACGGCCCAAAGAAGTACATGTACTTGTTTGGGCGTCAGCCGTTTTGTAGGGCGTTCAGACGGGCGGAAATACGGAAAGGTGTGAACCATACCCATAGAAAACAATGGGATTTTCATGGTTGTACGTTTTGTAGAGCGTTCATAGAGCGTTGAACGCCCGACAAAACGGAAAGGTGTGAACGAGGCCTAATATAGGGGAAACTGTTTTTTTTTTTTTTTTATTTAGTACTTTTTCCTTAATATAGTAAAAAAATAAAACCCCAGTGGTGAATAAATACCACCAAAAGAAAGCTCTATCTGTTACCAACCTATGGCCAAATTTGGTTAATGTAGTTTTTTTGAGGTTTTGCACGTGTGCGCAATTTTAAGGTTTTACATGTTTGGTGTCTCTTTACCCGACGTGACCCCGTCTTTTACATTTTACCAAAAAATTGGGTAATTATAAATGTTTTAGAATTTTAATATTTGGTAAACTTTTTTTTTTTTAAATTCTGTAATTTTTCCTTAACCTCTTGCCGTCCGCCCGTAGTAAAAAAACGGACGGACGGCACTGCTGCATCTGCGGGTTGCCGTCTCCAGACGGCAATTTTTTTCTGCTCGAGTGCGCCCCCTAGCGGGCACGCACGGGCAGAAAAGACCCAACCGTTGCACACACCCGTTACCGGGTGTTTCACATATAGGCGATAAGCGGGTCCATAGCCCGCCGATCGCCTATATGTGCTCGTTCGCGGCACGCAATTTTAAGGCTTGACATGTTTAGTGTCTTTTTACCCGACGTCACCCCGTCTTTTATATTTTACCAAAAAATTGGGTAATAATAAATGTTTTATCATTTTAGGCTGGGTTCACACCTAGGCGTATTACGCATGCACGTCTGTTGCGCGACCGTCACGCGGTTTTTTTTAACCGCGATTGGCAAAAATCGCGCGACCCCGAAGGCTACTTGGCTGTATCCCAATGGAAAACGCCCTCCAAAACGGCCCAAAGAAGTACATGTACTTGTTTGGGCGTCAGCCGTTTTGTAGGGCGTTCAGACGGGCGGAAATACGGAAAGGTGTGAACCATACCCATAGAAAACAATGGGATTTTCATGGTTGTACGTTTTGTAGAGCGTTCATAGAGCGTTGAACGCCCGACAAAACGGAAAGGTGTGAACGAGGCCTAATATAGGGGAAACTGTTTTTTTTTTTTTTTATTTAGTACTTTTTCCTTAATATAGTAAAAAAATAAAACCCCAGTGGTGAATAAATACCACCAAAAGAAAGCTCTATCTGTTACCAAAAAAGGGTATAAAATTAATTTCAGTACAGCGCTGCATGACGGAATAAATGCACTGCAGCGCTGAATACTGAAAAATGGCCGGGACAGGAAGGGGGTTTAACACCCCGGATGTCAACTGGTTAATTCGTTCCACAATTCTGGTCGCGAACCGAAAAAGTGATCAGACCGTGATCTCGACTAGAGGAAGCCACAACCACGTGTCAGAGCAGTCACTGCTCCCTGCTAGGATTCTCTCCACTGTTCTTCCATCGTTGGCTGGAGGGAGAGACAGACGGAAGGGGGTGGGCAGAGGTGGCTCCCGACTACAGTGTGCATCTGCGCTGTCAGCATATAGCAGGCAATAGCCTGCTATATGCTGAGTTTTGGGTCACAGGAGGATATTAGTTAATGTACTCCTGTGAACCAAAAGAGACTAACGCCAAAAAGGTTTAGCCATAGTTCTCTTTTCAATGGCTACCTCCTTGCCCCTGTAGTGTATCCCTGGCTCCTTCGAATACAGGGGTTGTCTTCTGCCCGTACCTGAAGTGAAAGATTTTCACAATTTCTTTACATCAATAAGACTGATTTCATTTGGCGTCTTGATTCCTGCACTTTTGTTTTGACTGCCTGCATTTCACAGATATTCCCACCTTTTTTCTTTCACTAGTGCACTTCAGAATTTGGAGCTTGTATGTAGTTTTACTACTGTATTAATGTCAATGTGTTTCTTTATTTCTAGGCAAACAGTGTCCCTTCAGTACCTGTGAAACCGAACGTGGTCCCAGAAATTCCACACATGCCTGTTAAGGCTGCACAACCTACCTCTTCTATGCAGTCTGAGAAGAACAAGATTCCCGTGCCCCCTCACTCAGACAAGGCTCCAGTACCAACCAGAGACCCTAGACTTAACAGGGCAAGCCAGCATTCATCACATACAAAAGATCAACTTCATAAAAAGGAAATTAAGACCAATGCACCTACTCCAGCAGACTCTAAACCCCTCAAACCTGTGTCGTCAGACAAAACAAACTTTTCATCAAAGCAAGAAAAAAATAAGCCAGGAGAGAAGCTTCCTAAAAAGGAACCTGTACCTTTAGATGTTAAAATTAAGTCAAAATCTCCTTTACCATTGTTGCCCAAGATACCTCATATAAGAGACGGCAAACCCCCAGTTGTGGACAGTGTTAGAGATTTTTCTGCAAGAGAGCCGGATGTAAATAGAAGAGATCCAAGGTTACGCAAACCGAGCGTACACAAAGATAAATCTGACGACAAACCGGAAGACATAAAGGAGAAACGAAAAAGCACAGAGAAAAAAGAGGAGCACAAATCCTCCGACCATCGACCTGGAAATAGGAATAAGATTGTGAATGGTATTGTGCCGAAAAACGATACGGGTTCAAATGACTCTGACAAACTAAGCCAAAAACCTGGAAGAAGCAGTAATCGAAAAAGGTCTCGATCACGTTCTCCTAAGTCCAGGAGAGTCCGACATTCTCTTTTAAAGAGAAGGCAGAGAAGCCAATCTCCAATTCTTCCGAGGAGCCGCTCTCCTATTCCCCCTCTCCCCAAAAACAGCAAGCTGCGTCAGCCTGGAAGTAAATCGCCTCATACAAGTGACTTTTCAGCAAGCGCAAGAGATGAGCGGAGTAAAAGGATACCCAAGTTAGATCCTAGAGACAGCAGGAGGCAGAAAAGACCCTCTGAAGAAAGACAGAAGAGACCCTCAGAGGAAAGGCAGCAAGATTTAATCATGCCGTTATTTAGTAAATCTGGTTCAGAACCAAAGGAAAATGTGGAGAATTGGCAGGGGTCCAAGACTGGAAAAAGATGGCGACCTGGATGGGAAGAAGGCAAAACGTGAGTGTGCAATACCTCTTGTTAGGCTTAATTTTTGCCTCTGCTGGCTTTTGGTCGCGATGATCCAAAGTTTTATTTTAAGCAGTATTCAGCTGTTTTGTCATCTGTAAGCTTGTTTCAGGTCAGTGCCTTAGAGTGAATGATGCAACTAGTATTTTTAGGAGACTATCAATGGCAGCTTCCGTATATCACTCGACAGGAATGCTGACTTGGTTTACTGGAGCATGTAGATTTTCTGACTGGTGTATTTTGTATTCACTATAGGTCTCAAAGTGATGATCACCTTCAGAGTAATAGGACTCCTTACCAAAGGCATCGGGACAGCTGGTCTAATAGTAAAGGATTACTTTCTCCTCGCATTTCCAAACAACAACAACAACCGTGGTTAAGTGTGGATGCTAACTTGAAAATCCCAAAAGAATTAACAAGTGCAAGCAAGGGTGAACTGCTTAAGAAGGTAAGTGTCAAATGATGAAGACTGAATGGCGCTTGTCCTGCTATGCAACCTTGCTCTTATGGCTTACATGTTACTGTAGTTTATGTAGTGATGAGGATCATTTTTGGTTTGGGATAACCCCTGGAAAGATGATGCCAATAAATGCAAGCATGTTTGCCCAGCCATCAGATGCATGAGACAATCCTATCTCTATTTAATGGCTTAACCCCTTCATGACTGAGGCCCTTTTTTCAATTTTTGCACCCATGTTATATTCCACATTTTAGGCCTGAAAATGACGTAAAACCCCCCAACATTATATATTTTCTGAATGCCAAGACCCTATAGAATAAAATGGTGGTAGTTGAAAATTTTTATGTTGCGCAATATTAGCGCAACTCCTTATTAAACCCCAAAATTTAGTGACAAATTTAATTAGGGACGCAGAAGCGATCTGGCGACAGGTAAGTCGCCAGGATCGCTTCTGTTGTAAAGCCGACAGTCGGCTCTACAAGTTTAAACAGAGTCCCGGCGGCAAAAGTCGCCGGGAGTCTGTTTAAACAGCCCCGATGCTGGCGACGTACACTGTACGTCGTCAGTCACGAAGGGGTTAAAGGCCACAGGGTTAAACCCGTCCTGGGCACATGCTGTGTATCGAACACTCTCAGCGCAGTGCTCTGCTCTGTGCTGGGGATGCATTAATGTCATCCTTGTCAACACTTTGCACGGCTGGTGGCACTTAATTCCGGTCTTGAATGATGGTCAGTAATCAGTTGGAGTAATTCCTGGGCCTTTGCTGTGTCAACTACCGGTATAACATGGTAAATCACATGCAGGCCGGAGGCTTCATTGACCAAATAAGCCTTCATGCTGCAGAAGCCACTGAAGGTGGCAGTGTTCATCTGTTGATTACATTGTCATTAGGGATGCGAAGATACTGGTTTTCCGGTATCTATTACCAAATTTTTTATTTTTTCGGTACTCGCTGATGCACAGAGTACCGGTGCCTTGTGCCCCGATTATCTGGAAGTCGGGCAGCAGATCATGACCCGTCGCTCCACTTCCTGATTGCCAGTGTTCTAGCAAAAGAACACCGACTTCACTTGCCGAGGCTGCCTGGCTTTCTGACCAATCAGGAAGCCGGGTGGCACGTCATGACCCGCCTCCTGGCTTCCTGATTGGCTAGGAAGCTTACTTCACTTGTTTTGGTCAGGAAGCCATGCTGCTTACAATCGGGAAGCTGGGATGCGAGTCATGACGTGTCGCCTGATTTTTCTTTTTGGTTAGGCTGCCTACCAACAAGTGGAGCCGGCTTCCTAGCCATCAGGGAGGCGGGTCATAACCCACCACCACCCCATTTTGAAAGGAAGCCAGCTCCATGCTCCCTCAGGACTGCCGGTTAGAGGGAGATCTCCCTCTGACCAGAAGTCTCTCTATCGGGGTAGGTATTGGAGCATTTGTGCAAGTATGAGTACTCGCCAATAAAAGTATAGGTGGGATCCCTAATTGTCATATAAAATTACAATGTAATTTAAAATATTTTGGCTATATTAAAAAAAAAGCAGCTTTTTATTCAAATGGGGTACAATGTAAAGGAATATGACCTTTGTTCATGAAAAGATTAAAACCTACAGTGAGCAAATTAGGCTACCATTATGGGAGTCCTTGTCTAAAAGCCAATACCAGATGTGTATTTTTAAACTTTGATAAACTTTTTTTTTTTTTTCCCCCTCAAGGCTAATGAGCGTTTGGCATCTGGTGAAATTACACAAGATGAGTTCCTTGTTGTGGCACATCAAATTCGGCAGCTTTTTCAGTATCAAGAAGATAAACAAAGATGTGTGTATAGCAGTCCCACCGAAGAAGGGAATAAAAGCGGAGTGCGCAAGAAACCCCTTCTGTCTAATGCAGAATTGACTTACTACCAACATAAAGCTAAGCTGAGGAGGACTCAGGTACAGCATAATTTTATGGAGCAAGATTTTATGGATATGTCCATGGATGAAACAAGCCCTGGTGATGGAGAAGAGGAGCTCAATGACAGAATATCCAGCAGCTTATCTGAAAGAAATGAGCCGTTCCCAGAAAGAGTTCTCCGCCGTTCCCCTATGCCTGGAACGCTACTTCTCGAGGAAGACCTTCCCCATGAAGGTCATAGAAGACTTGAAGATCTAGAACTGCCCCAAGGTATGCTTGAAATTACATTTTAAACTTTCCTCCTCTTGCATGGATTTGCTTTGTGTCTAATTCTCTCTGGCGAATTGAAGTTATCCATTTTTTTTTTTTATTTCCTTACTGTAGGTTTGAGAGATGAATCACGGACATTATACAATGAGCGATATCTTCAACGACCCAGATATGACGATAAAGAGCAGGTGCCTTTTGTAGACAGTACAGACCCAGTCAGCAAAGAGAATGCAAAGCATGTTGCTTTAGTTGAGGAGAGAAGACCTCTGCTTGAACTGCCAACGCTGTTACCTAATAGAGTTGATGATACTGACAGTCCAGGTTTTGAAGACATGGATGTTATCAAGCGAGAAAGTTCCCCAAACAAAAGATTTGATGGTCCTTTAGGTAATCAAGCTGGAGGTCAATTTTTCGAAGACGTGAAAGGACAGAATATGGATTTTGACCCTATTGGAGGGAATTTAATAGACTCTCCAAGGTTTGACAACATTTCCGGGCAGCCAAGTAGCTTGCAGAACCAACCATTGCAAAGGTTTGAAGGTATGCAAAATCCAATGGTTAGGACTCCACCGATGGGCAGTCAAAGAATGGAGGCTTCCCCAGGTCCACCACTTGTTTCAACAAGATTTGATGGTTCACAGGGACAGAAGTTAGGATCTCAGTTTGATGGAATTCCTGGGCAACCCATAGTTCAACCACGATTTGATGGAGTGCAGCCAGTAGGGCCACAGAGATATGAAGGCGGTTTAGGACTGGGACCACAAAGGTTTGATGGGTCACAGAGATTTGATGGTGGGCCTGCAACGCAAAATTTTGATGGGCCTCAACGATTTGAAGGTTCACAGAGGTTTGAAGGATCTCAGAGATTTGATGGAATAGGACCGCAAAGATTTGAAGGGCCCCAAAGGTTTGATGGTAATTCTGGGCCTCAGAGGTTTGATGGACTGCAAAGATTCGAAGGACCACCCAGGGCACAACTACTCCAGCAGAGGTTTGACGGACCACAAGGTCCGCTCATGAGATTTGAGAAACCAATGGTACAGCCAGTTATGTTTGATGGTGCTGGAAAACCAATGGGCACCATGAGGTTTGAAAGGCCACATGGTCCACGATTCGACGGCCCTCCTGGTCCTAGGTTTGATGGGCCACCTGGTCCTAGGTTCGATGGTCCTAGGTTTGATGGGCCGCCTGGTGCACGTTTTGACGGTCTGCCTCATGGTGGAAGATTTGATGTAAATCAAGGTCCCAGGTTTGATCATGGCCCTGGTCCACAAGGTTTAATAAGATTCGATGGACCTATGGGACAAGCTGGGCCCAGATTTGACAGTCTTCCTGTTAACAGATACGAAAACCACCCTCCCCTTTTGGCAAGGTACGATGGTGTTCCTGGGCAACCATGTACAAGGTTTGATGGACCTCCTGGGCACCAAACGCCACCTAGGTTTGATGGACCAGTGCATATGCAGCCACGTTTTGATGCACCCCTGCCCCGATTTGATGGGCCAAATCAGCAGCCCAGATTTGATTTGCCTCAAGGTCCACGATTTGAAAATATGAATCCGCCTATTGGGCAGAATAATCCACCCTTTGTCCAGAATGCTCCTTTTGCTGAGCCTCAAAATGTGTTTCATGGACAGTCGCAAGGCATTCAGTTCCAAAGGCAAGAGCAGAGATTTGACCATCCTCAAGGACCAGGATATACTGGGCCACCAGCCCCTGGAATGCAGCTCTTTCCTAACCAACTCCCTAGACCATCGGGACCTTATTTTGATGACAAAAATCCACAGGTTCCTCCTTTTGGGAACTTTAACCTGCCTGTTGCAAATATGCAGCCGAACCCTCCTCCGGTAAGTAAACCGTCAACTTGTTTCAGGTTTAAGAAAATCTATTAAAGGATGACTTGTATTATATAATACTTCCTCTCCCACCACTGCTGTTTTGCGAGAGAAACCACCAGCTGAAGAATCTTCAGAAACTTCTGGTTCCTTCCTTCCATGGGCCCCAAGTCATTACAGAACATAGTGGTGGATGGTAGATCAAACCATTGAATGTAGAGGGGCAAGCAAGACACTTGCATGTGCCAGAAACGGAATTATTTTTTTTTTTTAAGTGTAAGTTTCTCATCCATACGGCAGAGATTTGCAGGCGGTCGGTATTAATGATCGTCTTGGCGGGGGAATTTAAAGTGCATGTGTGGAGGGATTGGAACCCCCTTCTACGTTGTCATTGCTAGAGAAGAGTTCAATCCTTTCCACACCATACCCATACACCCAATGCTCAGCTTATAGAGGCACCATGTTGTAGCCCAATGACTAGAAATGGCCAGCTCATTGAATGCAAACATTGGAGGTCAAAATGCAATAATCCTCTTTTTTATGTAATCACTTTTGCATTTTTAGCTACACAAATGGTGTGCTGGTGATTTCTTGTCATTTAGGTGATCGCTGACTGTGTCCTTTCTGGGAAGATTCTTTCTCCATTTATCTTGGTGACCACTGTCGCCAAGACAGGAGGTTATGGTATATCCAACATTTTAAAGCAGTCACCAGAAGAACAGGTGAGGGTAAATCTTCCAGTGGGGACACCGGATCTGGTGACAACTGTTTAAAGAGAGCCTGACGCCAGACCATTCATTTTGAACAATAATCCTCTACTGAGAAGTGCATTTAGCGTTTTTATGAATGATGCTTTAACTGTAAAGGCCTCCCTTGTATACCCATCCAAAAGCCCCAAGACTGCTGCTCTGTGACTCCATCTTGGATGTCGTATCAACAGTCCCAGCAGACTATGTAGTGACGCTCAATAGCGGGGAGTAGGCAACTTTGCTATAGTTAAAATACAAACCCCATCATGTTTTTTCTATAGGAGTCGTACCCGCGGCTATCAGTCTTCCAATACCTCATAAGACTTCCGGTTCCAAAACAGCTGGATTGTTGACGTTGCCTACCCCCTGCTCTATAGGATTCTCTTTTGCTTTTCCCCTGGCAGCTGATTAAAATGTTATGTAGGAAGGTGAAGGGCAAAGGAGCTGGGCCAGTACAGATTGTAAATAGACTCTCCCAGAAGAGATGGCTAAAGCTGCCCTATTGATTATCTGCAGATTTTCTATGGTCAGATGGAAAAAGTGCAACAGATTCCTCCATCTACACTAAACTGTGCGGATGGAGGAATCTCCCGCTGGGCCAAGCTTCAGTATGTTGCTAGTCGGCCCTGCTGGCTCTCAAAATGCCTGAACAATCTGATTGGATGCAGGCATTGTTCAGGAGCTTTGAGAGCCAGTGGGGTGTAATAGGTATATGGCCAGTTTTAGGTATGACAGGAGGGAAGGGGGCTAAGCTACGGATTAGACTCCTTCCTAGGTAGTCAGATTTTCTATAAAGTTCAGAGGCACATTGCAGATGAAGAAAGATAATATCCGCAAAGGAAGAACGCTGCGAGTAGCATTTGAGACTTTCTTTTTTGTGCTTTTGTCTGCATCTATCAGGTTGGTGACCAGGTCTCTGCTTTTTGTTGTGTGTCCCTGACAGGCAGTAAAGGGAAATATCAACGGGAGGCAGGTTGGTACAAAAGTCAAGATTTTGCCTTTACACCCAAATCTAGAGACTAAATATGGCTCTACATAGACTTTAAGTTGCCTTTGTTCCTAGGTTCAATGTGTGTGGCCTAGTGTGACAGCCTGTAAAATGTTCATGTTTTCTTATTATACATTTTTAGAAGTTCTGGGTTGTAATCTATCATTTTCTTTTTTAAGTTTCCCTCTATGGCTGCTATGACTCAACCTGGACCTTTCAATCAGGAGCAAATGATTGGCTCAGCACAAGCACCCAATACTGGCCCCTTTATATGTTGCAAAATCTATGTATATTCCATTAAGGGCTCATTCGCACCAGCCTGCGTGCTATAGCTATTTTCAACCAGGGTGCTATAGCACCTAGGTGGGCCATCTGGTTCCCTCAGGGGTGCGATTAAAATCTAGTCATGCCTTTCATGTGAAGTCTCCTGATGTGAAAGAGGGGCTGTAATGTTAAGGGGACTCTGATGTGAAGGGGGATCCCACTTTTGTGTTGTTGCTTGGGGGGGGGGGAAGATCAACTAAAAATCCATACCAGACCCCTATCTTGTATAAGAGTTTTGGAAGGACCCCCATGTAATTTTTTAAATATGGCTTTTACATTTTAGACGGGTGTCATACGCATAGTGTGGGGATGGTGCAATGCGTTAAAATACATTGCACTATTCAAAAAAAACTTTATTGAAGTGTCACAAAATGGCACTGTATTAAGTTGTTGCAGTGTGGTGACATGAGGTGCTGCATCTTGAAGTGCAAATAAATGCACATATGCTGCAGTTTCATGCAGCACATCCCACCTAAGCAGGGCGTTATGATGTGAACAGGGCACGCACATGGAGCAGTTGTGATTACAGAGACATAGACCGAAGCGGGGGGGGGAGGCGGGCTTTAGAGAGACACACCGACTGACGCTGAGAGGGGGGTGGAATGTACAACTCTACATTGTTGCTATGGTTCCTGTAAGACAGTCTGGGGGACCCAAATAATACTGGAAAGTGTTAACTTTCTTGGGACTGCTGGACAAATCCTTAGGGGCTCATTCACACCAATTGCGGTAAGTTCCAGAGCGGCAGCAGCAATCGGTCACTAAACTTCCCACTTTGTTCTGGGCGGGAGGGGGCGTAGCAGTGCATTGAAGTCAATAGCACCGCAGCCACACACGCACCGACCCCCCCTCAGGCTGTAGTGCGATCGGACACGTGGCAAAACATTGCTTGCGAACGCAAAAAATAGAGCATGCAATTTGGCCGCATGGAAACGCAAGGCACATCAATGCCTGGGGTCATGTAAACATTTCCTTGGGCGAAAAGGAGTCACGAGTGGATAAAGTTTAAGAAGGCCTGACATGGAGAACTATTTTCAAAGTTTGTGTTGAGCCTGTCGCTGGATCGATGTAGTTCAGCGCAGCAATGATGGTGTGAAGGAGCCCTAATTGGTTTGCTATAGGTTCTGTTCTACTGTATGGCCATTATGGCCTGGCTGATATGACATGTTATATAAAGTGTGCCTCCGTTTCAGCGGCGTGTAGTAATGTTGGGATTTTTTTTTTCTTTCAGCTGCCACATTCGCAAACCCAGAAAATCATTTGGGTCAGTTGGATGTTAATGAATTATTTTCAAAGCTGCTTTCTACCGGAATCCTAAAAGCTTCGCAGTCTGAGCCGTCCTCTTCCCGTAAGTATACAAAATATGGGTTTCATGCCTCTGGCCCAGTTGCTTTTCGTTCCTTTATTACCATAGAAGGCAGAATCTAAGGAAGTAAACGACATAACTAGAGGGGCTAAACTAGAAATAATTGTGGCCTGCTGAACTTCTATATAGTGATTTCTGTTGCTGTGCGCCAGGTTAGCAGTCATGTAGTAAAGTATATCAGCACACCAAAGTAACATCTTTAACGAGTGCTCATTTTATTGATGTACACGCATCTCGTCATAAAGCAACAGTAATAGTGCTTACAGTTATGTCCCCCATAGTACTTTATTACACTCAGATTTTTACAATTGTGAACTATAGACAATTGGGCCAATGTGCCGCCTGTAGCATAATGTTCCTTGTACATTTTTTATATGTAATTTACGGATTAAGATTTATAAACCTATCTTAATATATTTAAAGCGTAAGTGAACTCGGCTCAGGGTGAGATTTTGAGATTAGTTGCAGATAATGCATATACCTGCCTCTTAAAGCTGTGAGACACTGCGTACGAAGCAGCGTGGAGTGGGGGTGCGTGGACCTTCGCGTGCACTGTCATGTCTTTTTCACTTTGACACATCACCGTGCGAGAGCTCACGTAGCTGAGCGTGGCAAGATAAAAAATTGAATCTTCAGCTAATCAACTTGCGTGCAAAAACCAGCGTGTCATGATGCAAAGTCCATTCGGTTGTTACACGCTGGCCGATTGGCTGAAGATGCTGTCATTCATCCGGCCGAGCTCAGCTCACACTGCATGCGAACCTCCGTACCTAACATCTTTGCATAGCTTCGCAGTGTCATGGGCTTACCTGGGCTGTCTCAAAGCATTGATGGGTCCATGACTCTGTAGCAGTCCAATCCACTCGGCATCCTACCTTTTAATCTCCCTGTTCAAAGGTACACGACTTGTGGTGACATCGTATTATAGCACATTAGGATAAATAGCCCACAAACCAAAAATGATCGCGCAGATAATTTGAGATTAATTTACAGTGCATAGAGATGCAAAAAGAAGCATTTCCTCGAATGTTTCAGGACTACACCGGACCCCTTTCTCAAGGTTGCTGGATATGCTTTTTGCACTTTACTGCATTGCATCTCTATGTACTTTATATTAAACCCTGAATACATTTTTATCTTGAGGCTCACTTTTGGTGTGCAGGCTATTTATCCTAATGGGTCCAGGATCGCCACCATTTTTGCTGCTTCTTCTGGATCCCATGACACTCCACTTTAACTTTTGGGTGGCATGTGCACAGGAGTTGCATTGTCGCTCTGTATTCTCCAAGAATCGAGCCGGTCTATACACTGCACAATGAATGGCACACAGGAAACAGTCGCCAGGAGCTGGAGAATTTTTTTTGCCCAAAAGAAGTTTGCGTGTCTCTGCTGCTGGAAAAACTCTTCCTCCTTGGTGTCTTTTTTTTTTTTTTTTTCTGTTTTTAAGTAATTTTTTAGTTCCTCTTTAAGATTAGAGAGTTTAGAGACTTATTTAGGATTTACTTTGTATTGGGTTCAATGCCTAATGCTTGATTTTCTTTCTTAGAAACTGAGGCACCCAGTCAGCCTGTCGTGGAAGAGGAGGAGGAGGAACCGGCCGACGAACATGAGATTCCTGATCTCACCAGCTTTGTCCTAGAAGATATGAAAATGTAAGTGTAACTAAAGTTCATGTATTGCTTGTGATATTCAAAGCACTGAATTTATTATAAGGAAACCTGACATGCTAGAATTATATAAACGTTGCTATTGCAAACTGTTCTATAGGTGTAAGCTCTGCTGCTCTCACCCTTCATTACTTGGTGAGTCTGTAGACTTTCCATAGTTACATAGTCAGATTAAAAAACACAAGTCTTGGGTATGTAAGTGGGACGTTTTAACTTTGCTGGTTGCCTAATTGTTAGAGAAGCAACGATGGGAATGATGTGCCGTGTACTTTAGGCTCATTCACACAACCACGCATATACGCGCGTACGTGTGTATTGGCCCAAATGCACATAAATGGCTCCATACACATAGCCGCGTATGGACCGTATATTTGCGTAGCATAAAAATGCGCAAAAACAGAATGGAACAGAGATGTGTCCGGGCAGCGTATTTCTGCGTATTTTACGCACATACGAGCGTATGTGCGTACAGTTCATTAAAATTTCTATCTGGAATGAGGCATTCTGGGAATACAAATAGTGCACGCATACACGCAATATACAATTTTGCTCTTGTGTTGTGTGTGTGAATGACCATGTGACCATGTTATAAAAAAAATTAAGTTTTCTCCCCTTTGAAGAAGAGTTAACTTGCTTGTCAGTGTATCTTTAGGCAAAACTTTTTGTTTGGTTAGGGAAAGAGCTAGTTAGGCTTTCAGTGTTTGCATGCGTTTATGTGGTTTTATGCGTTTCCATGCATTCCAGGGCAGACAAATGAGACCAGCAGTATTTTTCTGATCTGGAACGGACTGCACTGGTGTGAACAGTCCAGAAACAACATGGGGATACATTAGGATGCATTTTGGGACTAGAAACAATATGGTCTGGAGATTTGGTTTGAATGGACGCTTAGACTACATTCACGCAATGTGGTGCATTTTGGGCCCTGTTTTACATGCCGGTGGACGATGCACTTTCCTGGCACCCCAACCACATAGGCAGCAAGCAAAATGTTCTCCACACCAGGACACACATGTGATAGCTGACTAATGTACATCCTGCTAAGAATTCATATCTGGATTGTCTGCTACAGCCAGAATACTGGGGGAAGCCTTGTCGCCTTTTATTGCTGTGTGTCTCAGTTTGGAGAATGGGAAAGGGTCAGGACAGCTATTTTTATTCCTGTCTTGTCACAGTGCCACCCAAACTCCCCATGTCTTGTGGGGGGGGGGGGAAATGTTTACAGGAAGAGGGGAGATTTTCTGACTGGGTCACATATTAAACTTCATAGAAGTTGTCCCTTTTTTACCACTGTATGGAAAGTAAGACTTGATTTTGGGTTTTCAATGTCGGATATATATTTTTAGTCAGAAGACAGCAAATCTGTGCAGACAAGCGGAGGTGACTGATGTACAATTGTCTGCCAATGTATTTGTTTTGATCTGTATGTAATTGTATTGTAATTCTCTTTGCAGACGCTTTGAGTGCGTTATAACCCGCCTGTACACTGGCATCCAGTGCTATTCATGTGGGATGAGGTTTACAAAGTCACAGACCGATGTATACGCTGACCACTTAGATTGGCATTACCGGCAAAACAGGACCGAGAAAGATGTGAGCAGGAAAATAACACACAGGAGATGGTACTACGGCTTAACGGTAAGTTGTGTTCTTAGAATAACAGACTGACCTTGTTAGCTTTGAAGTGAAACTATTAAACCAGGGGTAGCCAAACTCCGGCCCTCCAGCTGTGGTGGAACTACTAATCCCATGAGGCATTGCAAGATTCTCAGACATGACTCCCAGAGAGATGCATCATGGGGTTTGTGGTTTCACCACAGCTGGAGGGCTGGAGTTTGGCTACCCCTGCATTAAACGGTTGGGGTTTAGCTATGGTTCAGAAAGCGGCTGATTTTAAAGTGGAACTAAACCGTCCTATCTGCTTAGATTGGTGCCATCTTAGCCTCTGGATGTGATCAGCTATGACACCAGCCTGCTGAGAGCCGATGTAAGCACACTGACAACTGTGACGGTTCTCACCAGAGGCATGCCTTGCATGTAGCATACGCTGTGCATGCGTTAGTAAGCAGAATGTAAATGAAAACATTGGTACGCTGAACGATTTAATGACCTTTATTGCAGAATTTCTAGTTTGAGGTTTCTTATGGGAAACGTTTACATTCGTAAAGTTGGTTCTGGTTGATGGGCCCGTTCTTATTGGCCCAATGTTAATGTGGCTTTGAGCTTGATAAACGTCTGACTTTTCCATCTGTGTTTTATTTCTAGGACTGGATTGAGTTTGAGGAAATTGCTGATCTGGAGGAAAGGGCTAAAAGCCAGTTTTTTGAGAAAGTCCACGAGGAGGTCATATTAAAAACTCAGGAGGCGGCTAAGGAGAAAGAATTTCAGAGCGTGCAGGCTGGTCCCGCGGGAGCTGACGAGGTAACGTTTTCTGCTCTCTAGTAATGAAATTGTACGGTTGTTTTCAATGTGGAACTTGTACTTGTTTTTGTTCTTTAGTGTTTACCCCTCACATGCGTTTTCTTTAGCAGCGGACTCTCAGCAGTCCTCCGGCTCTGGGGATAACAGATGCTGTTGTGGCACTGGCAGGTATTGGCGTGTGTATGTTCTGTTAGCTTTATCTGACTGGTTTGTTCTTTGTCCTTCAGATTTGTGAAATCTGCCAGGAGCAGTTTGAACAGTATTGGGATGAGGAAGAGGAGGAGTGGCATCTGAGGAACGCTATGCGTGTAAATGACAAGGTATGACATAAAACAAAGTCACGTCTCCAATGACGGGCAGGTTTTTTTTATGACGGAAGAGACTGTAAGTCGTAGGTGCTGTTGGTGTATTTTTTTTCCTGTAAGATGCAAAGTGAAATAGCCAACAGGAATCTAGCTATGCATTCCTATGGTGTTGTGTTTTTTGTTTTTTTATTCTTACGGCGTACGCTAGTGGTTCTCAACCTGTGGGGTCGCTGTGCTCGGTGAGAGTCCTCCTCAGCCCTCTCCTAGCGCAGCAGTGTCAGTTCTCCCGCCACGCCGCCAGATGTCGCTGCAGCAGCCGCGTCATCCCAGCCCTAGAAAGGTTGAGAACCACTGCTGTAAGTGTACACAGCTTCATGTACAGTCTCGCCACGATTCTGTGCTGGAATGAAGTCATTTCTGTGCATGAGGGAGTTGCATCATCCTGGCCAAGGACTCCGAACCCAGAATACTGGGTGTAGATAGAAGCACCGGCCGTGACATCACAACGATGGAAGGGATCACTTTGCTGGGTAAAGCTGCCCATACACTGCTCTATTTTTTTTTTTTTTTTAGTTCAGCCCTTCAGCACATTCCTCCATCAACACTACGCGCACATTGATCCAGGAATCCCTGCTCGCTCTTTTGTATCTGTCAGCATACCAGAACAGAGCCGGGGCATTGAGGCATGCCAGCCGAAAGGGTGGCGCCTGCAGCACCCACTGTGAACTACTGGAACCGTCCTTAGGATGGCCACCTTAAGGGCCTGTTCACATGAGTTTCAGGTCTGGATCTGCAGACGCGGTGCCACTGATGCAGTGCGTTTTGGCCGCGTTTTTGATGTGCTTTTTATTTTGCTGGAGTGGGGCTGTTAGCTGCAGTGCGTTTTTAACACGTTTGCGTTTCCTGACCGTACAAAATGTGACATGCAGTATTTTTCTGTCGTAACCTGAACGGACTGCGCACGTGAGAACTGTAGCCCATAAAACACATTGGGATGCATTTTTAGTGCAGGAGTGTACGGATCAGGTCAGCACACAAAACGGACGTCGTGTGAACAGGCCCTCGCATGGTGCTATGCATGCAGTGTGTTTTTGATGCGTTCCAGGTTTTTTTAATGCGTTTTTGATGCATTTGTGCGTTTCCGGACTGGAGAAAATGTGACGCAGTATTTTTTCTGTCCGGAGCGGCCTGCGCTGGGGAGAACTGTAGCCCATAAAACACATAGGGAGACATTGGGATGCATTTTGGGTGCAGGAGCGTATGGTTCTGGTCCGGACAGAATCCGGACATCATGTCATGTCTGCTATAATGTGAAAATATGCTGTCCTAGCACATACTGACAGAGTGCTTTTGGGGACCCAAAATTTGGCACTTTCTCTGGCAGCTTACTTCTACTTTAACCCCTTCATGACTGAGGCCCTTTTTTCATTTTTTGCACCCATGTTATATTCCACATTTTAGGCCTGAAAAGGACGTAAAACCCCCCAACATTATATATTTTCTGAATGCCAAGACCCTATAGAATAAAATGGTGGTAGTTGAAAATTTTTATGTTGCGCAATATTAGCGCAACTCCTTATTAAACCCCAAAATTTAGTGACAAATTTAATTAAATGCCCCAAAACACAACAAATTACCCATTTTTTTAATGAAATATAAAAGATGAGGTTACAACGAGTAAAACGATACCCAACATGCCCAGTTTACAGATTGCGTGCGACCGTGAAACGGCGAAAAACTGCAGTACCCCAAAAAGTCAATAAAAGACACTTTAAAAGCCCCCACAGGTCATCAATTTAGAGATACCCCAAAATACTGGCCCGTTACGTTGCGACGCGCGGTGGCGGGGGATTTTTAAACTTTTTTTTTAAAACGTACACTGTACGTCGTCAGTCACGAAGGGGTTAAAGGCCAAGGGTAAAAGCCTTTCCTTATCAAATGCATGTATTTGAGCAGAGCTGCATTGGAATGGAAACGGCCATCAACATGAGACCCAAGTCCCCTTAAATCCGAAATCTGGTGTTCTGGAGCCCAAATTGCTGAGCCATGAGCATTCTGGACTCCACTCGTTTCAGTTGTCTTGCTGTCTCTGATATATATGGAGGGGGGGGGGATTTCTTCAGGTTTCTGTGTAATAGAATGAATTGTGCTCATATATAGAAATCCTCTTCAATCTGTGAGCATGTTTTGTTAGTTTCTTGGCAGTTCTGACAATTTCAAAGGCAAGCCCAATGCTTATGCCCAGTGTGAAGTACATTGATAGAGTAACGGGTCTTTGCTTGGATGGTTTTTGACTTGTTTCTGTTTTGCAGATTTATCACCCCTCCTGCTATGAAGATTATAAAAATGTAAGTAGTGGTGTTCTGATCTTGTATACCGATGTGTGCGGTTCTATTGAAAGCACAACTCCTGCTTTGTAGTGTGCTTTGTAGTGTGCAGTGTTGTGATAACGGACTAGACTGGGCTTTGTGCGTTCATTGTCTGAAGTCCATGTGACATGTACACTGATGTAGACTGCATTCTAATGTGTGAACCTCAAGACATGGAGCCATTGTTTTAAGTAGGGATGCATCGATACCGAGTATTTGGGCGAGTACTCTTACTTGCCCAAATGCTCTGATACCGCCCCCAATACTGGAACTTCCAGTCAGTGGGAGATTTCCTTTGGCAGTGTGCAAGGGAGCATGGAGCTGGCTTCCCGGCCAATTGGTAATGACTCGCTACCCAACTTCCTGATTGGCGGGGAAGCCAGCTCCATGCTGTTTGGCCGGCTCCTGGTTTCCTGGCCGAAACAGCACTGGGCCGGCTTCTTGGGCAATCCAGACGCTGGGCAGCGGGTAATGACACACCGCCTGGCTTCCTGAGTGGCCAGCAAGCTGGCTCCATGCTAGTGGAAGTACCGGTATCTGCATCCCTAGTTTTATTTAAGTATTATTTTTCCATGGAAAGTCTCTCCTGCCAAAAAAAAAAAATTCCTCTGTCCCCTAGATTCAGTCTCCTAGCAATTTCTCCCAATTCATCTTCTCGGAGAGCACAGGAGGGAGGGGGATCTGCCCACCTACAAACAGGAAACCCATCATCCACAATAAAAATAAAAGGGGCTGTCCCTCCCAACTACCTCCAGTTATTATTTCCTCCGGCATAACGGGAACATCGAGACCGTTTTATTTTTCCATAGGCCTCCGTGCTAGTTGCTGGGTCCTCCTAGTGCAGGGGTAGCCAAACTCCAGCCCTCCAGCTGTGGTGGAACTACAAATCCCATGAGGCATTGCAAGATTCTCCGCCACAGACATGACTCCCGGAGGGAGATGCATCGTGGGATTTTTAGTTTCACCACAGCTGGTGTTTGACTACCCCTGCCCTAGTGTATGGTTCCCCCAGGAACAGCATGTGGTTGCATGCCTGGGATTGTGCTGGCTAGGATTAACTTCCTTTGATTGATTATTCTAGTTGTGGGACCCTATTCTCCCCCCCTTCCTCATTTTTTTTCCCCACGGTACCCTCACTTGGGAAGAAGGAACTATCCCCGTGGGCACAAAGGTTTTAGTTGAGCCCTCCCTTGCTCGCATTTGGTCAGGCCCCGAGTTCTCCTTTGTGTTGCCTAGAGTTAGAATTAATTCTCCACCTTTCTTGTGGTTTCCATACACAGCCCTGGCACATGCTGCGTGTGTGTGTGTGTGTGTGTGTGTGTGTGTGTGTGTGTGTGTGT